TCAGCACCGCCAGGCTCCTCACGCACCCCCAGACCCAGCACCCCCAGGCTCAGCACCACCAGCAGCACCAGAGTCAACAGCTACTGGGGGTAATGGTTGCACCATGTGAAAATTAGAACGAGTAATGGTTGCATTGAGCAGCATGAGGAGTACAAGTACCAAACCCTAGAATGTTGTACCCCATATAAGCTACCCCACTACAGCCTACACAGACTATAGTGTATAAGTTTGACAGGGTGAACGTCTTCTCGACAATTGTTTTAAGCGATTTACGGTGTACTTCGAAGTCATCTGGGGAAGTTCTACGGCGAGATCTGCGGTGTTGATGCGGGCTAGGTTCCGTGAAATTCGGTCCCGGTAGACCCACAGTTCTGGTTTCCACATGGAAAAGCGCCTCCCTTTTGGTAGGTTGCTAGTGTGGTTAACCACAGGCGATGAGAGTGGCGACGGGTGGGCACGCTAGATACACCGGTTCTTTCGGATGACAACCTGCAGGCGACCGAGATTTACGTGGTGTGATTTCATCTCCGACATTGGCGGGTACCAGCAGCAGTTCCGAAAGTGAGTTTTAACGGAGTCGGCGGGGTCGTCGACAGTATCCGTGCCAACGACGGAATTGCAGCGGTGCTTGATTAAGCGCGCAAGGCACTCGTCGTTAACAGTGTAGCCCTACAAATCGGAAGCTGCTCAGGGGTACCAGCGATAACAAGGAAGGAGTTTTGCTACAGAAGGGGGGGAGAGGCGACAGCTGTTTTTCGCCCCTGCCCGGAGGTTCTCGGCGAGTCACGACAACGTCGCCGAGGTATCTGACGTCATCGGCTGTTCAAGTTCAACTTTGAAAAAATGCTTACGAGGTCATGGGGGGGCAGCGGCAGCTTTGTTTTCGCCTATACCCGGGAGTTTTCGGAGAATCACGACAAACGCCTCGGCGGGTCACGACAAGGCCGCCGGTGGTACCGACGTCATCAGAGTCTGAGTTCGTGTTTTCATTGAGTTCTCAAGTCGGACACTCGGTTAGTTACGTGACATCGCCCTTCTCGCCGAACGTCGCCGATAAAGCTTCAACGACATTCGCAATTTTCGCGACGGTCTTCGACGACGAACTTCAACGATCTGGAGTCACGACCGAAGGATTATTGGACAGGTTTCGTGTCAGAATTCTTATACCTGCATGTAGTTCTAGCTGTTTAGTGTAGTTATTATTAACTGTTGGTGGTGCACCACTTGTACTTGTTCTCTTGCCTATATCTTCCTGGTTTGCTATAGTGAAACACACTTCCTTACCACAATTCTCTCGACTCTCTCCTTGGCCTAAGCTAGCACTATCTCCTTGGGCCTAGGCTACTAAGCCTAGGCCCTTATGCCTAATTTCAACATGCTATCAGAGCCTGTAACGCCCTGGCCTGTGGGCCAGCCTCTCGCTTCCGCTGCTGTTTTTCCGGTCGCGCGCCTCGGGCGCGTGGCGATTTTAGTTCTGTCCCGCGCTCGGGAGGCGCGTGACGTTTTTTCTGCCCGTCGCAGACCCGCCCCTAGCGCCCGCGACGGGAGCCTGAGCCGCCGCGGACCCGCCCCTGGCGCCCGCGGCGGTAACCTGAGCCGCCGCGGACCCGCCCCTGGCGCCCGCGACGGTAGCCTGAGCCGCCGCGGACCCGCCCCTGGCGCCCGCGACGGTAGCCTGAGCCGTCGCGGACCCGCCCCTGGCGCCCGCGACGGTAGCCTGAGCCGCCGCGGACCCGCCCCTGGCGCCCGCGACGGTGCCCTGAGCCGCCGCGGACCCGCCCCTGGCGCCCGCGACGGGAGCCTGAGCCGTCGCGGATCCGCCCCTGGCGCCCGCGACGGTGCCCTGAGCCGCCGCGGACCCGTCACTGGCGCCCGCGACGGTGCCCTGAGCCGCCTCTACCTCACCCCGCGCCTGCCCTCGATCCAGCCGCCCCTGCCCTACCCACACCCCCGCCCCCCCCCTTCCTTCGCCTCCCTGCAGCAGTGGGGGGGAGGGTCTGGGGTGGCGGGTATTGGGGTGGTGGGTGGTGTGTTTTCCTTCCCCCCCTCCTCCTTTCGTTCCCACTGCTGCAGCTGCCGCTGGGGGGGAGGGTGTGAGGGTGTGGGGGAGCCCAGAGCGTGGGGCGGGGGGAGGAGGGTAAAGGGGTGTTAGGAGTGCCTGCCCCCTTTGCTGCTGTACCTGCTCTGTTACCTTGCCTGGTGTTGTGGTGTCTCTGTCTGTGGTGTACCCCTGTGTCAAGAAGCTAGGCTGGGTTAGGAACCTAAGAGAGTGGCGAGAGAGTGGAATGTCGAGAAAGAAGGGGGTCTCACTATAGAATTGTGGGTACAAGTAGGAGACAAAGGAGGTGAACCACCAACACAAAGAGTTTATAACTACACTAAAGCTACAGCTACAGGCAGGTACATAAATATATATAAATATATATTCTAACACTCCCCCATAACTGCCTGCAGCAGGAGCTTGTGCAGCAACAACTCCTGGATGGGTACACCACGAACAGAGAAAGCAGCAACAGGAGGCAAGTGCAATGACAACCAGTGCAGTGGTGGCAGAGACAGCTGCAGCAAGCCCTGAGGCAAGAAAGAGAGAACGAAGACGATGTGCTGTGGCGCGCTTAGTTTGCAGCTCAACAGCAAAGAAGACGAACGAAGACGATGTGCTGTGGCGCGCTTAGTTTGCAGCTCAACAGCAAAGAAGACGAACGAAGAGAGAGAAGCGTCAGGGGCTGCAGAAGTAGGTGCCACATAGCAGTGGACGGCAGCTGCAGATGCGTGGCTACTGGTTCCACCACTCTCTCTTACCCTCCCTTAGCATCTCTCATCCCCCCCCCCCCTCTCCCCGACAGCAACAAGTGCTGCAGGGAGAGAGTAAGAGGGAAGGAGAGTGGGGGAGGGACGAGCTACTGGTGGTTCACACCCTCCGCCCCCATAACTCCCGTCCCCCCCCCCCCCACGGCGGAAGCCGCGGAAGGGAAGGGCGGGGGGGGGGGGGGCGGCATACGGAGCTGCCGGCGCCGGCGTCCCCTGCTGGCGCAAGCGCTGGCGTGCGCGGATGGCGCAGGCGCTGGCGCCTCGCGGCTGGCGCTTCGCGGCTTGCGCACGCGCTGGCGCTGCGTTCCGCACTGGCGCTGGCCGCGAAGTGCTGGCGCAGGTGCGGGCGTTGGCGCGGACGACGGGCAGGGCGACGCGGGCAGAGTAGGGCGCATCGGGGCGCGACGAACTGGAGGGCGCACGGGGCGCGACGAACAGGCAGAGCAGGGCACAGCGGGGCGCGACGAACGGGAGGGCGCACGGGGCGCGACTCGGGTGACCCGCGGGGCGCCGAAACGTGGGGCCGCGGGCGACGGGAAGGAGGGCGCACGGGGCGCGACGAGTATGCCTTCGGAGCGCGAATCGAGTGGGGCCTGCAGAGAGCGAAACGCGGGACCCATGATCCTAAAAAAAAAAAAGGTCCTTAGGACCGATTATTGCTCTGTACCATGTCAAGAAGCTAGGCTGGGTTAGGAACCTAGGAGAGTGGCGAGAGAGTGGAATGTCGAGAAAGAAGGGGGTCTCACTATAGAATTGTGGGTACAAGTAGGAGACAAAGGAGGTGAACCACCAACACAAAGAGTTTATAACTACACTAAAGCTACAGCTACAGGCAGGTACATAAATATATATAAATATATATTCTAACACCCTGCAGGTAGTGTTCTACACTTCGCTATCCCTGCATGCAGTTATGGGGGGATGTCAGAATTCTTATACCTGCATGTAGTTCTAGCTGTTTAGTGTAGTTATTATTAACTGTTGGTGGTGCACCACTTGTACTTGTTCTCTTGCCTATATCTTCCTGGTTTGCTATAGTGAAACACACTTCCTTACCACAATTCTCTCGACTCTCTCCTTGGCCTAAGCTAGCACTATCTCCTTGGGCCTAGGCTACTAAGCCTAGGCCCTTATGCCTAATTTCAACATTTCGGGATGTTCCACTAACGACAAGGCGGCCAACAGGTCCGCGACAGCGACAAAATTCAGACCTCGTGTTGCAGCAGCTGACAGGTGGAAAAGCTACGGCGAGGATTTTACCACAACAAGACAACGGTAGCAATTTCGGGATTGCAGCAGCTGCCAACTGGAGATACGGCAGCAGTCAGAGGATTTGATACTGCCACGCGAAGGTTTTTGGGGTGGCAGCAGTTTTTTCGACGGGGGGGAGAAGGAGTGCTTTGCTTTCGCACTGTACTTCCCAAATTTTCTGACAGTTTTTCTGACAAGATTCAGCGCGACGAACGATCGCGATGTTCCCATCGACATCAACGGTCTTCATTCATCGACGATTTTCAACTCGACATTCGTTTTCAACCGCCCGATCGACATCTGCAGTATCAACGGCTGACATTCCAACTTTTTGATTTTCGCCTGCTCAACGCGCCCAGCCACGCGTCAGCTCGACGGTCAACGCCTTCTACACCGTTAGATCAATTTCAACCGAAGATCTGCAGTTTTCATGCTACTGCAAGACTCGGCTTCGCATAAAGGCACCTTATTTAGAAGGTGGGAGAGTGTAATGAATATACATTCATTACTGTAGAGGCTGCTCCTAGCGAGGACAGCCCCGAGCACTTCGCGTCAGTGTGGCTCGGCCTACACTTTCGCACCGAACCAATTCCGAGTCGCCCATCACCAATCGCGACATTTCCGAGCCACGCACGTCACGCGGTTCTCGCCTAGCACGTATTCGCCCTATATTTGCTAGCATTCTTCATTGCTTCTTCATTCTGTAATCATGTTCTCTTTATAGAAGTCTTCCGCGCACTCTGTTTAGTACAACTCATACAATACCAGCGTTTTGAACTCACTCTCGTGGTTCAGGATTTCCTCGAAGTGCAACCCACACTTGCCGACCCCCAAAACGTCTAGTGATCGCTTAGTACCACGCTTGCAGGGCTCTAGTCCCAACCCTTCAATTTACGGATCATAGCATTGGCGCTTGTTTGCGACAACACGGTAACGCCATGGCGGGAGTGAAGCGGGCTCGGCGCACAGCGGCGTCGTCGCGGTCGCCGTCGCCGGAGATGGACGTGCTGTACTACAACCTGCTGCTCGCCGCGCTGCGCGCGCGCCAGGACGCCGGCGTGGCGTACTACGGCGCGTTCGTCGCCGACCCCGAGCCCGTGCCGCCCGACCTCTACGCGCACTGGGTGCCGCCGCCCGGCTCCTTCGCCGTGCAGCGAGCCGACGGCGACGACGACGAGCGCGGCGCGGAGGAAGACGACGCGGCGGGGAGGGACGGCGCGGACGACACGGACGTCGACGCGGGGGAGCACGCGGGGTCGGACGGCGAGGGGGGTGCGGAAGGCGCATCGGCGGAAGCGGTGGTCGCGCGCAGGGGGCCGGGCAGGCCGCGGTCGGCGCGGAGTCGGCCGGGCGCGACAGCAGGCGGGGCAGCGGCGGGCGGGGAGGGCGGCGCGGCGGCGAGCGAGGAGACGATGATGCCCGCGTGGCTGAAGGAGCTGATCGCGGCGGACAGGGAGAGGGCCGCGCAGCAGCAGGGGGGGGAGCAGGGCGGGGGCGAGCAGGCGCAGCAGCAGCAGGGGGCGGAGGGGCTGGCGTTCCCCGTGGTGGACGGCAACATGATCCGCGGGTCGTTCCCCGCTGCTGTGGCCGCCGTGCGCTTCCTTGAGCGCGCCCGGCGCCGCCTGGGGGGGCTGCCGGGGCGCACGGGGGAGGTGGAGATGGGCGGAGGGGTGGGCGGGGAGGGGGAGAAGTGGAAGGACCGGCTAGCAGAGGAGATGATGACGTCAGCGCTGGGCGTGAAGGGCACGCTGGGGTCGCGGGAGGGCGGGCGAGGGCGGGAGGGCGGGGGGGATAAGATCGAGCGGTGGACGCCCAACGAGGACGCCATTCTGCTGGTGGGGCGCGTGCTGTTCGGCACAAGATGGATCAGCATTGAGCGCATCCTGCCCGGCCGGTAAGTGCGTGTGTGTGGCGGCATGCCCATTGCCCACTGCCGCAACTCTTGTCACTCACTCTCGCTGTGCTGCGCCGCGTGCTCCTGTAGTGAAGGGCGTCCGCGGCGCCTAAACAACACCCTGGTTGTCACCCAGTGGGCATCAAGGGACTCCCGTGCCACCTCAATGCTTGCCTCGTCGCTCCCCCCACTTGCCATCTCCCCCCACCACCCCCACTTGCCATCTCCCCCCACCACCCCCACTTGCCATCTCCCCCCACCACCCCCACTTCCCATCTCCCCCCACCACCCCCACTTGCCATCCCCCCCCAACACCCCTGCCACCACGGTGGAGCAGGTCGATCCAGGCCATCAAGACGCGGTGGCTCAACTACCTCAAGGGCCTCTTCCGCCGCCACCGCTGGTGCACCTCCGCCCTCGCCCCCCCGCCCTCCAAGGAGGCCGCCGCCGCCCTCCCCCCGCCCCCCTCCCCCCCGCCCACCCCTCCCCCCGCGCCCGCCCCTTCCACGTCAGCAGCCACTGAGGCTGCGTCAGCAGAGGCACGCGCGTCCACCCCTCCGCCCTCTGCTGCTGCGCCTGCTGCTGCCAATGCCCCCCCTGCACCCCACCCCCGCCTCTCGCTCCCCCTGCCCGCATCGGCCACCCCCCCACCTTCCGCCCCTCCCCCGCCCGCCCATGTGGGGGAGGCAGGCAGTCAGGGGGCTGCAGGGAGGGCGCTGCTCAGCATGCCGGCCGGGCCGCCCGCAGCTGCAGATGGTGGTGCAGGCAGAGCAGGGGGAGCAGTGGGTGCTGGCCCAGGTGCTGGTTCAGGTGGTGCGTCAGGTGCGTCTGGTGGTGGCATGGTGGCATCAGCAGTAGGGGCCACGCCAACCAAGCGGTCGCGCTCCCAGTCCTCCCGTCCCCCGGCCGCCATGCCCACGGCTCCCACGGTGGCACATGGCGGGCAGGAGGAGGGGGAGGGGAGGGGGAGGCGGGAGGGGAGGAGGAGCGGGTGCGGCGGCACGAGCGGTACCTGACGTGCCTCATGCTGCGCGCCGAGAAGGGCCCGCCGCCGCACTCCCTGGCCGCCACGCACGAGCTCTACTGCTTCGCCTGCAAGTGCTCCGACGGCCAGCTGTCGCCGTGCTATTGGTCGGACGAGGCAGTGGCAGCGACGGCGGCGGAGTGGGGCGGTGGGGGAGGGGCGGTGGTGGGGCTGATCCCGTGCGCCAAGGCTTACCACGCTCGCTGCGTGCACGCTGCCGTCAAGGTGAGGCAATGGGGGAAGGTGAGTTGAATGGGGCAAGCAGAATGGTTTATAGTTTGGGTATTCACCTCTTTGCCTTGCCTCCATGGCCTTGCCTCCATGGCCTTGCCTCCATGGCCTTGCCCTGTCCCTGCAGCAAGCATGGCGGCTCCTCTCACTTACCCTCACCTCTTGCCACACTCTCACCCCTTCTCCTGCTTCCACCATTCCTCGCGCCCTGCTCTTCTCCATCTCCTGCTCTTCTCCATCCCCTGCTCTTCTCCATCCCCTGCTCTTCTCCATCCCCTGCTCTTCTCCATCCCCTGCCTCCTTGCCATTCCTCCCCGCTGTTGCGCCCTGCTCTTTGCTGTGCATGCAGGACGGCTGCCCGTTCATCTGCCCGAGGCATCAGTGCAAGCAGTGGGGGTGCCGGGCGGCGGTGGCCGTGGTGTGCCGCAGCTGTCCCTCCTCCTGGTGCTCCCTGCACGTGCCGCCCGCCTCTCTCGACTGCGAGCCCTCGTTTCTGAGAAGGTTCCGCGTGCAGCCGCAAGTGCGCATCACCATCTGCCCCTCCTGCCAGGTGGATCTAAGTGGAAGGGAGGGGGGGGTGGGTCTAAGTGGGAAGAGGGGGGGGGGGGGGGGGAAGCATGCTCACAGTGGCTGGGGAGTAGCATGCTCACAGTGGCTGGGGAGTAGCATGCTCACAGTAGCTGGGGAGTAGCATGCTCACAGTGGCTGGGGAGTAGCATGCTCACAGTGGCTGGGGAGTAGCATGCTCACAGTGGCTGGGGAGTAGCATGCTCACAGTGGCTGGGGAGTAGCATGCTCACAGTGGCTGGGGACTAGCATGCTCACAGTGGCTGGGGAGTAGCATGCTCACAGTGGCTGGGGAGTAGCATGCTCACAGTGGCTGGGGAGAAGCATGCTCACAGTGGCTGGGGAGTAGCATGCTCACAGTGGCTGGGGAGTAGCATGCTCACAGTGGCTGGGGAGAAGCATGCTCACAGTGGCTGGGGAGTAGCATGCTCACAGTGGCTGGGGAGTAGCATGCTCACAGTGGCTGGGGAGTAGCATGCTCACAGTGGCTGGGGAGAAGCATGCTCACAGTGGCTGGGGAGAAGCATGCTCACAGTGGCTGGGGAGTAGCATGCTCACAGTGGCTGGGGAGTAGCATGCTCACAGTGGCTGGGGAGTAGCATGCTCACAGTGGCTGGGGAGAAGCATGCTCACAGTGGCTGGGGAGTAGCATGCTCACAGTGGCTGGGGAGTAGCATGCTCACAGTGGCTGGGGAGTAGCATGCTCACAGTGGCTGGGGAGAAGCATGCTCACAGTGGCTGGGGAGAAGCATGCTCACAGTGGCTGGGGAGTAGCATGCTCACAGTGGCTGGGGAGTAGCATGCTCACAGTGGCTGGGGAGAAGCATGCTCACAGTGGCTGGGGAGAAGCATGCTCACAGTGGCTGGGGAGTAGCATGCTCACAGTGGCTGGGGAGTAGCATGCTCACAGTGGCTGGGGAGTAGCATGCTCACAGTGGCTGGGGAGAAGCATGCTCACAGTGGCTGGGGAGTAGCATGCTCACAGTGGCTGGGGAGTAGCATGCTCACAGTGGCTGGGGAGTAGCATGCTCACAGTGGCTGGGGAGTAGCATGCTCACAGTGGGTGGTCAACTGCAATGCGTCTGCCCGCCATGCCCGTGGGAGTTGCCTGTCCCACCACTCAATTCTCCTCATCGCCCCCCACCACACCCCCCTGGCAGGAGCTGGAGCAGAGTGTTTCCTACCAGAGCCACAGCGTGCGGGGGGGAGCGCCTGCTGCTGCTGCGGGTGCTACCGTGCAGAGTGTGAGAGGGCATCAGCCACCCATGCAAGGGGCCGCACAGCAGCAAGAGCAGCAGCAACAGCGTCACGAGGAGCAACAGCAACAGCAGCAGCAGCAACAGCGGCAGCAGCAGCAGCAGCAGCAGCAACAGCAACAGCAGCAGCAGCAGCAGCAGCAGCAGCAGCAACTGCAGCAGCAGCAGCAGCAGCAGCAGCAGCAGGAGGCAGTTGAAAGCAGAGGAGGGGCGGCAGGCGGGGCGAGAGGGAGTGGCATGATGGGTGGGATGGGTGCAGGCAGGGTGAACGCTGTGGACGCTCGTGGGGGCATGGCTGCAGCAGGTGGGAGCATGGCGGCAGTGGGTGGGGGCAGGGGGGCAGGTGGAGGAGTGCGGGGAGTGGGTGAGATGCATGGTGTGGCAGGGATGGGCATGGCGGCCCATGGGGTGATGGGTCAGTATGCCCCTGTCATGGGCCTGCATCAACGCACAGCAGCAGCAAGAGCTACAGCAGCAGCAGCCACAGGTGGGGCAGCAACAGGTGATTGGACAAGGCGCGGTGTCAGCGTCAAGCCAGCAGGGGATTGGTATGGGGTCGCATACACCAGCAGCAGCAGCATCAGCAGCAGCGAGGGAGTGGGCGGAGGTGTTGGAGGAGATTCGGTTTGTGCCCAACAACCGCCCTGCTGACATCTTCAGCCTCCTCCAGCTGGTGAGACACGCCTGCGTGGTGAGACGCGCTTCAAGGCAAGGCAGCCAGCAATCGTCTCTGCTTTCTTGCCGCACTCCGCCCTGCCATCCTGCGCTCGCCGCCCTGCCATCCTGCGCTCACCGCCCTGCCATCCTGCGCTCACCGTCAGCTCCTTCTCACTCTGTGAGAAAGAAGAATTGTTGGACTGAATAATGAGCCAAAAGGCTCTTTAGTACAAGCAATGAGCAAGAGAGAGATGAGAGGGAAGCTTACCCTATTGGCCAATAAGTTGGCCAATGGGTGAGTTTGCTTGTGGCCCAAGCAACCACAAAATGTGTGTTGGTTGGGATTGGTTGAGGTAAGGACCAATCCCCACCAACCACAAAATGTGGTTGGAGGGTACACTAACCAACCCCCCAATTTATAAGACTGCTACACATCTAAGTCTAGCCTATGCATGTTGTATAAAATATGGAATTACAGCACACTCAACCTCTCCCTTCCCCCCCGCCCATGTGTACCCCTCCTCCCACCAGGCGCTGCCACTAGCGAGGGCGCAGGGCTTGGCAGCCGAGGCACTGGCAGTGTTGGAGCGAGCTGCCTCTGCCGCCGCTGCTGCTGCCGCCTCGTCCTCGTCCCTCCCTGCTGGCCCCAGCCCCGGCTCCCACCGCCCCTCCGGCGCCGCTGCTGCTGCCAAGACCATGGCCCTGCAGGTGGGTGCGGCACATGGTGGGGTTGGGGTTGGGGTTGGGGGGCAGAGGTGGAAAGGGGTGGACAAGGCATGCAGGGAGTAGGGATGCAGGGAGTAGGGATGCAGGGAGTAGGGATAAGCAGAGCTTTTAAAGAAAGTTATACTCAACTTCCTTCCATGTTGGTGGTGCTTCGTGCCCTTCGATTGGTGATGCATGATTGTGTGTGTGTATGGTGGATGGAACATGGTGCATGGTGTGTATGGTGCATGGTGCATGGTGCATGGTGTGTATGGTGCATGGTGCATGGTGTATGGTGAATTGTGTATGGTGAATGTTGAATGGTGCATGGTGCATGGTGTATGGTGCATGGTGCATGGTGCATGGTGCATGGCACATGGAACATGGTGTATGGTGCATGGTGCATGGTGGCAGGTGATTGAGATGTATCGCAACATGTCAACACTGCGACCCGCACAGCCTGCACCACGGCCACACCCCTACTTCGGCTTCCCTGGCATCTGAACGACCGCAAGCTACCAACCCCTCTTAATCTTGTCCAGCACCGTTTCCATCTCCTAAGTGTGGTTGGCTAGTACGGTATTTTACCCTGTTATATTCAGCCCTGGTCAAGGTTGACTTTTCTCTAGGAAAATTTTCGTTCTAGCCTACATGGATGGAAGAAAACCTACTCGAGCGGAAAGTTGAGTGAGCCAAAATTGTAAAACACAATGCGATTCCGTGTGGCAGTGCACAAACATTTTAGATTTTGAACAACATTGTACACTTCATTCCTTCAAGAGGTTTTCGTATCTCCATTTTTGGAGCTGTACAATGGACAATGTTTTTTTTTTTACAGGGGCAACTCATTCCTAATGGTGGCCGTTTATCTGCCACCAGAGCAGCACTTTTTGCAGCTTCCAAATCAAACAACCCACCTGTCTAATGTTCACCTAAAATGGCAACAAAGAGACGCAAAACATGCCATACAGGTGCCAAGAGCACGCCCACAGCAACACAACACAGCGCCAAGGCAACCCACAGCAGCAGCCTCTGCTCATGCAGCCATCGCCTCACGGCCACCACTAGCTGCCAAATCGGCAGAGCAAGCAGCGTTCAGGGCGACAGCTCCAACTCCAGCTCTCTCAATCGCCCCTTACTGCCCACACACCCATCCAACTCCTCTGCTGTCACTGCACCACAACCTTTGGCCCTGGCCACACTTTTTATTTTTGCAAGCAACGCTACAGAGTTATCTAGCTGCTGCAGCCGGTCAACCCCACCCTGTGGCAACCGTCACTCTGTGCCGCTGCACCACCCTGCTGCTTCTTCTGCTGTTGGACTTGCTGTTGTCACTTTTGAGAATTCTCAAAACTGCTGCTTCGGGTGTTGGACTTGCTGTTGTCCCTTCTATCTCCACCTCCTCTGTCTCCATTTCCCACTCCTCCATCTCTAAGGCTCCTCTCCCGCTTCTCCATCCCCTCCCACTAACCCCCCAATAGCCTGTCTTTGTGCTCCCCCACTCCACCGTACACCAACCCACCACGGCCCTTCCGCCCCACAGCCCCCTTCTCCTGCTGCCGCCCCTTTACCACGGAGCACCAGCCTGCCCCCTCCCTCCCCCACGCGCCCTCCCTTAAGAATCACTGTTGCGAGCCCTGCTGGCTCTCGAGGCTCCACGGATTGGAGGGCAGAGGCAGCTCAATCTGCTCCTCCTTAGGCTGGAGCAGCCACTGCCTCTGCACCTGCCCATGTCCCTGCTGCTGTTATGCTGCTGCTGCTGCTCCTGCTGCTGCTGCTGGTGTGAGAACAGGAGAATCAGTAGCAGCAGCTCCGAGGTTGACGGAGCGCCGAGCGGGCAGGTACTGCTGCCACGGGTGGCGCTGCCCTCGTGTCTTGTTGGACTGTGCAACGAGGTGTGCCATGAGACGGGTGTGCGCACACACACACACACACCGCTGCTCGCTGCCCCCCCCTCACTGCGTGCCTGCTCTGGCAGTGGCAGCAGAGGAGCAGCAGGAGGATGCAGTGAGCGCGGTGCACTGAGAGCATCTCCATCGCCCGCATCCAAACCGCACACGCCATGCGCTCCAGTGCTGCGGCCTGGCAGCACACTGTGTGCCGGCATCATCTGGGATGGAGTTGCTGCAGTGGGGCCTGCTGGCCCCTCCGCCTCCATCGGGGTTTCACTACTCCTAGCCCGCCCTGCCCTGCCTCTCGCCCCATCTGCCTCTCTTCTCTCCCCATTCCTCTCCTCCTGCCACTCCCCATGCCTCTCCCCATGCCCCTCCCCATGCCTCTCCCCATGCCTCTCCCCATGCCTCTCCCCATGCCCCTCCCCATGCCTCTCCCCATGCCGCTCTAAGGCCACCGCTGCAAAGGCTGGAGTTGCAGGCGCAGCCACAGGAGCGATCATTAGAGCGGCAGGGATGGCGGGAGGGGCTAGATGCAGCCCAGCGGCTACACGTGGGGCTGGTGCCACGCGAGGCAGGGCAGCAGCAGTCCTGGCAGGAACACCGGGTATTGGGGGCTCCAACACACGGTTAGCTCTAGGAGAAACCGCCACAGGAACACCAGCAATATGCATACCCGTTAGAGGAACACCAGCTATAGGCACACCCACTAGGGGAACACGGCCTGGCAGCGGCAGCATCCTTACCCCATGTCCCACAGTGGCGTCCATGGCAACATGCTGTGGCACGACCAGAATTGGAACCCCCCCTTCCTCTTGCCCCTCCACCCACAACACATCTGGCGGCCCAGCAGCAGGACCACCAAATGCACCGTCCGCAGCAGCACCAGTGGCGCTGGCAGCACCAGTGGCGCTGGCAGCAGGAGCAAAAGCACCAGCACCATGAGGGTGAGCGCGAGAGTGAGCGTTTGAGTGAGCGTGAGGGAGAGCTGGGTGGATCGTCATGTGTGCCCCGTGTCCTTCCACGTCTTCCATGCCGAAATGCCTCAAGACGTCTGCCATGGGTGTTGCTGCTACCATGCCCTCATGCTGATCCCTAGACAACCCTTGAGCACCCATGAGACAGTCCTGATTCAGAGAGACGGAGAGGAGAGAGGCACGGAACAGTCAAGAAAACGGCACAGGCAAGTGGAAAAAGGGGGTGGAAGGAGGAGAGAAGATACCAGGGAAAAAAACAAAACTGAGCCCGGAAAAAAATAGGGAACGCAGCAGCTGGCACTGCCGATTGAACATCTGCAATACCTCCGCGAGATGCAGTTGCGGGTGTGCGTGAGTCACGCCGCTGCTCCGACTGCTGCCACCCGCCTGCCATGCTCCCCCCCTGGCACCCGCCAGCCACGGCGTGTTGAACACCTGCGTGCGCCCGTGACGCCCCGCCATGGACGCGCCGGTGGCCGGCATGACGGCGGCAGCGGCGCGCACAGGCCGCAACCTCTGCCGCACCAGCGCTCTCACGGCAGTGGCGCCCACAGGAGCGGCGGCAGCGAGGGGAGCAAGGTCGGGATTGGAAGCGGTAGCGAGCAGTGCAAAGCCGCCCCTTGCTGCTGCTGCTGCTGCTGCTGCGGTGGCGGTGCTCTGTGCCGCTTTGGCCTTGGCCAGCGCTGCAACGGCAGATGCGATGGTGGTTGCGCCTGCAGCTCGTGCTGGTAGCACAGCCGTGGGCGCCGCCTGCCCTGCAGGTACCGCAGCTGCGCCCACTCCTCTGAGTGCTGCTCACACTGCCGCCCCAGAAACGGCAGAAACGGCAGCAGGCGTGAAACCATTCGGTACCACCATCTCACACGCACCCAGCGCTCCTGGCGCAGCAAAAGTGGCGGGATTGGCGAGGGCGGCGGGGGCGGCAGGGAGGGCGGCAGGGGGGGCGGCGTGGAGGTCGTGGGTGACAAGTGCGTCTTCGAGGAAGTCGTCGATGGAGATGCCTTCGGGGAGATTCAACGCCGACAGCTGCTCGCCCAACCATTCCTCGCCGCCCTCCATTGGTATATTCCATTCCTCCGCCTCTGCCACGTGGCCCGCCCCATGCTCCGCCACGTGGCCCGCTGCCGCAGTGGCCGCTGCCGATGAGGCTTGCCACTGAAGGTTCCCCCACAATCCGTCCACATCCACGTCACTCTCCGCCGCTCCACTCCCCGTGATCTCGCTCGCACTGGCTGACACATGATGTGCTGCCAGCTGCTCGCCCTCCGCCATGTGGCTCGTTGCCGCGCCCGCGGCTGTCATGGCTTCTCGATAAATGTCCTCCGAGAAGCCATGCGAGTCCCACAATGTGTCCGCATCCGCGTCGCTCTCCGCCGCAGTGCCAGGGTCGACGGGCACGATATCGGCCTCCTCGAGCCCCAGAATGTCCATCAAATTCTCCGCACCGCGCTCCGTCTGCCCCATCTCCGCAATGGGCGGCATGCAACCCGCAACGTTACCCTCTTCCCGCCTAGTCCCGTCTCCCGCAGCGGCTCGCTCGAAGCGGGCTGCTCGTCGTGTTGATCCATGGGAGACGCGGCTTCCGCGGCGCCGGCGCCCTTGTTGAAAACGCGACACAGCACGTAGTTCGCGGGGGGGCCGCTGCGCGACCGCGCCTCAGGCTCCAGCCGGTATTCGTGCATCACCCAGTCCGTCCGCTCGACACGTGGCGCCCTTTTGAGGTAAAACACGAGCGTCTTCTTAATCCCGATTTGTCGCGACGTGCGCGAGCTGCGCACGGGCTTGTCGTTGCCGGTCGACTTCCAGTACCCTCTGGGCGTGGCGCGATTCGCGCGTGAGCCGCGCGGATATTTCTTGTCGCGCGCGCAGAAGAAGTACCACTCGCTGGCTTCGAGGCACGACCAGCTGGGCAGGTCCCACGGCTTCTAGCGGAGAATGTCGAACTCAGCGATCAGCCCATTTCCGTCCGCGAGGCGGTTCTCCACCTTGCGCCGCAGGTAGTACCCCAGCAGCTCCTCGTCCGTCGGGTGGAACCGGAACCCCGGCGGTAATTGAAACGGCGGCATCTTATTTCACTGTTTTGTGATTATTTAACGATGCTAAATCCAGCTATCAACTCGTCCTGAATGTGTATTATCTGCTGTAGGCCGCAGGAAGGAATATATTGAACTAGGCAAGTGTGTGTAAGAAGTCAGAAAGCTTCGGAGTATATAATCTACGAACGAACCCTTACGGGCGTTAATATATTATTATTTTAAAGCCCAAGACCTGAATTACAAAAAAAAAGGGCAAAGTGTGCACAGTTTGCCTACCAAACCCAAAGTTGACCTCCCGAGCCAAAATGGTTACCTGAAAACGTCGCATGCCAAAAAGGCTGCGTCGTAGATCAGAACACGAAGACCTAGCGAGAGACCCAAGCACCCCTTCCTGAGCGGAGAAGGGAACTGCCTGTGCACAGTTTGCCTAGAAATTGGTAATTCAGGAACGTGCGGGAGGCTACTACGCCGGACGCCAGTTCAGTCAGATGGTAAATTCCTACCTGCAGCCCCGTTGCAACACGAGAGAAACGCCAATAGGGCAGCGTGAAAGGCGTGTCGCGCATATTACGATAGGCCGCGCAAAACTATGTTAGTTGGACAACCTCGCTTGTCCCCTCACATCGTCCTCAGCCTTGACGCACCGCCACCCTCGCGACCCCCGTGTCCCCGTCGCCATCACCACTCCCATCGCTTCCTCGCACAGGCCGTCGGGCCCCATTCCGACGCCCCGTCCACCACTCCGCGACCAGCCACTTTCTCCGTAAGTCGTGTCCCCGCCACTCCCACTATCCTGACTTGCACGCCCACGTTTCTCCTCCCCGCGCGCGCTCCTACCCCGAACCAGCGCGGCATCCTCTTTCCACCCCGCGCGCGCTCTTCCCGCCTCCCGCGCGGCATCCTCTTGCCTCCCCGCGCGCGCATTTGCTGCCTCCCCGGCGGTCTCCTCTCACCATCCCTAGCGTGCGGCACGCGCCTTTATAGCGCGCGCGCCTGTTGCCTCCCCGCATGGCCTCCCCTCAGCATCCCGCGCGTGCTCCTCGACTACTCCAACTCGCGTGAGCCTCTCGCCTTAGCGCGCGCTTCACTTGCCTCCATGCGCGGGCTCCTCTCACCTCCCCGCTCGTCCTCCTCTCGCCGCCTCACGCGTGCATCTCTCGCCTCCCCGCGCGTGCATCTCTCGCCTCCCCGCGCGTGCTTCTCCCTCCACCCCGCGCGCGCCACTCTGGCCTCCCCGCGCAGCATCCTCTCACCTCCCCGCACGTGCGACACTCGCCTCCCCTCGCGAGCTCCTCTCTCCTCACCTCCAATGCTTGCTCCCCTCCCCTCCCCGCGCATGCTCCTTTCTCCTCACCTCCCCACGTGTGCGACTCTCTGCTCACCCTGCGTGCGGCTCTCGCCTCCCCGCACGTGCTTCCCCCTCCTCACCTTGCGTGCTTCTCTCGCCTCCCCGCGCGTGCTCCTCACTCCTCACCCTGCGTGCTCCTCTCGCCTCCCCGCAAGTGCCCCTCTCTCCTCACCCTGCGTGCTCCTCTCGCCTCAACGCACGTGCTCCTCTCTCCTCACCAAAGGGCGTCCTCAAGCCTCCCCGCGCGTGCTCCTCTCTCCTCCCCGCGCGTGATCCTCTCTCCTCACCGTGCGCCTCTCTCCTCACCGTGCGAGCGCCTCTCTCCTGACCTTGCGTGCTCCTCTGCTCCTCTGTTCCCCCTCTCCCCCTCTTTTTCTGCCCTGCTCCACTTTTCCCCCCTGCTCCTCTTTCGCTCTCTGCTTCTCTTTCCCCCCTCTGCTTCTCTTGTCCCCCTCCACTCATCCTTGCCCCCTCGCTCCCTTCCATCCCACTCAACTGCCTCCCCTCGCGTGCTCCTCTCGCCTTTATAGCGAAATGAGGGTCTCGCCTCATTTCGTTGCCTCCCCACACCATCCCGCATGAGCGGCTCCTGCCACCCCTCGCGTTCTCCTCTCTGTTCACCCACTCGTTCTCGTCTCGCCTCCCCGCGCATGCTCCTCTTTCCACGCCTTGCGCGCTCCTCTCGCCACCCCTCGCGTGCTCCTCTCGCCACCCCTCGCGTCCTCCTCTCGCCTTTATAGCGAAATGAGGGTCTTGCCTCATTTCGTGGCCTCCACCCATCATCCCGCGTGTGCTCCTCCTGCCACCCCTCGCGTTCATCTCTCTGTTCCCCTACTCGTTCTCCTCTCGCATCCCCGCGCATGGGAGGCTCTCCTCACCTTGCGCGCTCCTCTCGCCACCCCTCGCGTGCTCCTATCACCTCCCCTCGCCATCTCCCCTCGGACAGGTGGGGTGCTCCTCTCTCCTCACCTCCCGTGCTCCACTCGGACAGGTGGGGTGCTCCTCTCTCCTCACCTCCCGTGCTCCCCTCTGACAGGGCAGGGTGCTCCTCTCACCTCACCTCCCGTGCTCCCCTCGGACAGGGCAGGGTGCTCCTCTCTCCTCGGAAAGGAGGATGAGAGGAAGGGGGGATGATAGAAAGGTTGGATGAGAGGAAAGGAGGATGAGAGGAAGGGGGATGATAGAAAGGTTGGATGAGAGGAAAGGAGGATGAGAGGAAGGGGGGATGCATTGAAGGTTGGATGATTGAAGGGCGGATGAGGGGGAGGGCGGATGAGGGGGAGGGAGGACGAGAAGAAGGCCCCCGTAGAGGGAGGGCGGACGAGGGGGAGGGCGGATGAGGGGGAGGGCGGATGAGGGCGCGTGGCGAAAGAAGGGTAGGGATGACGAGTGGAAATGAGGACGACAGGAGGGGCGGATGAGAGGGAGAGAGGATGTGAGAGAAGGGCGGACGAGGGGAAGGGCGGATGGGAGGAAGGGGGGATGTAGGGAATTGTGAGCGACAGGTAGCGAAATGTGGGCGATGGGCAGGGAAACGAGGGCGACGAGAGGGGAAATGAGGGCTACGGGAAGGGAAATGTGGGCGACGAGAGGGGAAATGAGGGCGCAGGGAAGGGAAATGTGGGCGAGGGGGACGCCATGAGTGCGGCGGGAATGGAATTTAGTGCGAAGGGCAGGGAAACGAGGGCGACGGGGTGGAAATGTGTGAGAGGGGACGGGAAATTAGTGCGACGGGAAGGGTGATGTGGGCGACGGGAAGGGAAACGAGGGCGACGGGAACGGAAGTGAGTGCGACGGGAAGGGAAATGGGGCGACGGGAAGGGATTTGTGGCCGACGGGTCCGGTAATGAGGGTTCTCGGGAAGGGAATGGAGGGCGACCGGACTCGGGAAGTGTGGGCGTCTCGAAATATTGGATACGAGGGCGACGGGCCGCGAAATGCGTGCGACGGGAAGCTGAAATGCGTGCGACGGGAAGCTGAAATGCGTGCGACGGGAAGCTGAAATGTGGGCGTCGGGAAGTTGAAATGTGGGCGACGGGAAGCTGAAATGCGTGCGACGGGAAGCTGAAATGCGTGCGACGGGAAGCTGAAATGCGTGCGACGGGAAGCTGAAATGCGTGCCGCGGGCCGCTGAAATGCGTGCGACGGGAAGCTGAAATGTGGGCGACGGGAAGCTGAAAATGTGGGCGACGGGGGGCTGAGATGAGCCCGACGGGAGGCTTCTCACCATGCGCTATGTGAATGGCCGGCGCTCGCAAACGGCGGGGAGGGCCCACGTGAGGGGCAGGGAGGAAGGCTTGATGCTGGGGGCGCCTCGAGCGCGTGGGAATCTAAGCTGCACCGAGTGGTGGCGTAACAAGGCTATGTGGGGCGCCCCGTCTCATACGTCCGCCCTGTTCCCTATGTGTGTGTCCTCAACACCCTAAAAATCGCGCCTTTCCGGGTCCATCGATTAGGACATTCGCTCCTAATGGCTCCTCCTCGTTTTTCTAGAAGCTAAGGTGGCGCCTGGTTGAAGGGGACTTAGGAGTAGTTATGTTTGTTCGAGTGCCTGAGTTTGCCTGTTCAAACTGTGCACACTTTCCCTTCGCGTGCTTCTCAGGTGAGTCGAACTTGGGAAGATGGGCCGTGTGCCATGTTTGTTCCAACCAATCAGCAAGTGCACAGTTTGTGGCGAACTGTTTTCAGTCGCAAGGTGGTTTTGTTTTTTCGCGTGTCACTCAACCCATCCGAACCTCCAACTGGCAGCCCGCCGAACCTACAAAAACTCAGTTGACCCCCGTTGAGTAATTCAGGTCTTGGGCTTTAAGTGACGGTCGACTATGGAGTCGCAAGCAACGATCATCCTGCGGTGTTTAGTCACACCTTGTAAGAGAGCATTCTGGGCTGTTCCGAACACCCAACCTCGTAACAGGCGACCGTCAAACAACTCCCTGCGACCCCCAGCCCTAACCCATTTATCGGGGTTTGGGGCCCTCCAACATTCTTGGAGATTCTGTTTGTAACAGCTTGTTATGAGCCCGGAATGGTCTCTAAGTCAGAACTAG